AAAAAAAACTAGTTGTTGCATTGTCAACCTGTAAAGTTAAGTACATTGCAGGTGCTTTGACTGCTTGTCAAGCTGTGTGGATTTTGAATTATTGGTGTAAGTCCTAGAGGCCAATACTTTTGGTACTTGTATCGAATTATTTATTAATAAAATACATTTGTTTATTATGTTTGTTTTTCCAAAATAATAAAGTCCTTAGAATAGCTAGTTTGTTTAATGAAATATTAAGTGTGACTTAATCATGAGATCCCATTAAATATAAGGACATTCATTATTCTTAAAGTATATGTAATAGAGCTTTACTGTGAAGTGAGATAACCTTAAAGCATTAAGACTATTATGTATATAGAGTGATGATCACATCTCATGGATCATGGATAAGGAGTTATCGAGTCTTAACATAGGTATGAATATTAGGAGTAATATTTATACTGGATTGACCCGCTATAAGAGTACTACATAGAATGTTATGCAAAGTGTCATAAGTTACTCTCATGGTGATAGTAGTGTATACCACCCTTCGACCTGAAACCACTATGGACCCTAGATGTAGAGTCAAATACTTTATTGTTGATCTAACATTGTCCGTAACTGGATAACCATAAAGATATTTGATAGATACTCCATAAAGCATGTTGAGGGACATGAGTCACAAAGATAGAAATTATCCATCCTGCATAACAGGATAAATGTCTAAGGGCCCAATGTTGAACTGGACAAGGATGACATGGCATATGCCTTGTGTTCAATATATACATAAGGGTAAAAGGATAATTGTACACACAAGTATTATCACAAAAGGTTTAATCAGATCACATGACATTTTCATGACTTGGGTAGCAGTGACGTGTTGCTAGATATCGCTCACTATTAATTATGTTAAATGTGTGATTTAATATAATTACTAACGTCGCGAAAACCTACAGGGTCACACACACATAAGGGCAAATTGATAAGAGGTAGAGTAAATAAGAAACACTGTAAGGTATGATACAATTAAGTAGAATACAGAATATGGTAAGGTATCACGCGCTTTTGTGATATACGGTACATAATAAAATATGGTACGCATGCACTTAAGTGGGTTTTTTAGCTTGCAGCCCACACAAGTGGTTCTATAAATATAACCATTGTTCAAAAGCATTCACTCTTGATGAAAATTCAGACTGTGAAACTCTAATCTTATTTTTCTTCTCTCTCTCACTCAAAGCCTTCAATCGTAGCAGCTAGTAATGAGACTGAAGAAATATGTTCATGTGAACTGAGTAGAGGCGTTGTTCATCATTCAACACTTGCGATCACTCCTTTGATGTCAAAGGTTTCATTGTCAGAGGAGGTAATTGTTTCTATCACTAATCATGCTCATTTGTAAGTATCACTAAAGGGAAAATTTTAATTTCTACTGCATTTTGAATCACGATTTCCCTTCAGAACTTGTTGCAGGATCTGAAGATAAAGGTGAGCAAGCCTGTGAAGTTTGACAACAAATCAATTATAAGCTTTGTTAAGAATTTGGTGTTGCACGAAAGAAACAAGCACATTGGCACAAAGTTTCATTTTCTAAGAAACCAGGTTCAGAATGGAGTGCATGAAGTTGTTCACTATAGCACTTAGAAGCCGCTGACAGATGTATTGACCAAAGCAATCAAGACTTGACACTTTATCTAGTTGAGGGATGAAATTGGTGTTATTGGTTTTAGTCTTGAATGTGGATTAATGGATAATGTTGAAGTGTGTAATCCAAATTCACATTAGTTGCATTTGAGTTTAATGTGAGTTTCATTTCATTTGACTCTGATTGTATAAACAGTGAAAGATAATTTCAGTTTGTATTAGAATTCATTGTAATCATATTTCTGTTGAGTTAGTTAGAAATTTTTCTCTCTTTCATCTTCATCATTTTTCTTTCTTGTGTACCAACATATATAGGATCTCTATTTGTTTTTTCATGATTAAACTATAAATAAGTTACACAAGACCTCCAAAAACGTGAGACGGCTCGGCATAGAAACACCATTAATATTTATATAAAAATAACAATGTCCAATTAAATGTGTGTGTTTTATGTTTTACGTTAGATTAGATTAAAATGAAAATTATAGTGTATTCATTATAATTTTAAGTTGGTATGATTTCACAAAAATTCTTAGAGTGTGTTTGGATGAATCATTTTAATGAGAGAAAGTAATATTGTAAGGGAATTTAAAATTATTTGACCAAAAGCTATTGTTTGAATAAAAAATATAGAAAATTGTTAAAATAGTGTAAATTTATGAAGTATTTTAATCAAGTTAAATTTAAGTAATTTTAAATGACACCAAAAAGTAAAGAAATTGAAATTGCTCATTCACTATAATGCAAATGTTAAATTTTTTATTATTAATTTTTCAAAATTTAGAAGATGGTCCTCATATTTTATAAGAATTTCTAATTCACCCCTAAAATTAAAAAAAATTGCAAATAAGTCCCTAATGATTTTCAAATTTTACAAATTAGTCTCTTAAAATTTTCAAAATTTATAAATTGGTTCCCATTTTTCATATTTTAAATTTGGCTCAAAAATTTTAAAATTTATGAAAATGACCCCAAAAATTTAACAATGAATCATTTTAATACTCTATTGAAACAAAAAAATATTTAAAGATGAATAGATTTCAATTGTATCATTTAAATTATTTTAAATTTTAAATTTCTTAAAAAATTTCAAACATACTTTTAGAATATATATATATAATTGAAAATTTTAACAAATTTAAAACTTTAAATAATTCAAATATTTTAACTGAATATGTTTTTACTTTTAATTTTTTTTTAATTTGGAGTGGAGTAATAAAATTCTTCTTTGCTAATTTATTGACCATTTTTAAAACATTAAGGGTCTGTTTGGTTCAAATGAGGGGGAGGGGAGGGGAGGGATTTTAATGAAGGGAAGGGGAGGGGATGGGAGATGAAGGAATTTTTTAATCAAATAAGTGTTTGGTTCAAAAGAGAGGAGGGGAGGGGAGGGGAGGGATTTTAATTAAAAATGTGTTTGGTTCAGAAGGGGAGGGGAGGAGTTTTATTAATAATTTACATTTTTATCCTTATGATCTTATATAAGTCATATGATATTAAAATGTGAAAAATTCGTGCGTATTTTTGTTGGTAATAAAATTTCTAATGTTGAGTGATTAAAAAAATATTTATTTGTCACTAAAGTTAAAAAATTGAGTACAATCGATTCGACTTATAACTTTCCAACATAAATTAAATTATATGTCAATAACATCGTTTAAATTGTGATGAATCATATAACAAAAAAAATATATAAAATAACTTATTACTAAATATTAATGGTTTAAAATATTTAATAAAATGAATAAATAAAAATAAATAAAATGATATGGTTTACAATTTGATATATAAGAAAATATGATAGAGTACATAATTTTTTTTATAAAAAAAAAGATAATGATTATGATTTATATTAATTATAAAAATTATAAAATAATTTGAAGGTGACGAACAATTATAATAAATTGATGAAAACAATCGAGAAAAAATTAAACTGAGGATATTTTAGTAAATATAATAATTTTTAAATATCAAAATTCATATTCCCTCCCCTCCCCTCCAAATCCCCCCAATTCGGAGGGAACCAAAAAGTGTGTTTTGGAGGGATTTTGCTCCCCTCCCCTCCCCTCCCCTTCCCTCTTAAAATTTGAACCAAACATATTTAATTAAAAATTTCCCCTCCCCTCCCCTCCCCTCCCCTCCATCTACCCCGAACCAAACACACCCTAAATCTTTTGGATCTGACATTGAAAAATAATGAATTACTTGAAAGTAATCTTAAGTGTTTCAGGGACACTACTAAGAACAGCCCACATGGTATGGTATGCTTTTATTTTGTTTCTCACTTCCTTTGTTTTTTCCTCCACCAAACTCTCATTTTCCATCTTCCCCTCACGATCTTTCTTTTGGCTCTTGTGAGGAGCATGCATGATTTTTTTTCCGACCAAATTTCCCTTTTCTATCATATTTTGAATTGAATATGGGGCTGGGGTAGCTCAATAGTGCAACTTGTTGCCCACATTTCCATATTATATTGTTGTAAAAAACTCAACTCAAGTAAATACATTTAAAAAATAATTCCGATAAGTGAATTCAATTGATAATTGAGCAAAAATATCCGATAACCCACAGCATTCTACTTTTACAAAAATCTTTATCCTGTGACGAATTTACGAGACTCGATGACCTTTCTCTCCGTCTGTGCACATGGAATGGAAGAGACTAGAAAGATTGCCTTAACAGTTACAAGTACTGCGATTAGGTGCAAACAAGAACCTTGAATAAATGCCATACTCTATATATATACACTTCATCTACTCATTCAATGGACCACCACCATATTTCTATATTTGACTTGTTAAAACAACATTGCATCTTTGCAAAAACTTACAAATATAGTTCATAAACTAACCAACAACAAAACATTAATCATCATCAACACCGTCTTATTAAATTGCATATAAACTCAATCATATTCATACATACATGATACACATAAATAAATAAATATCCAAAAGTGATTCTATATAGCTTCTACTACTACTACTACTCCCTAATGTGTCTCTTACACCACTCAGACATGTGTATGCATGTGAATAGTATTAAAAACTCCAATATTACATCTCTTTCGCATTACAATAAGGTAGCTACAAAAAAATACTAGAACCAATGTCATAGTAATTAAGACAAGCCACGTGATTACTCAGAATGCATCGAGATTTTCTTCAACCCTTCCCTCTTCTCAAAGTAAAAAAGTACCGCCATTATGCCATTCTTGTCTTCTCATATACCTTCTGTATCTGATAATGAACCACAACTTCATAATCATAACCATAACCATTAACACATAAGTAAACTTCAATATTAACAATAAGCAAGTACTAATACTAGTAGTAATTAACTTCACACTAATTAATGTGTATAAAGAAAATGTAAACCTCTTGTCATCATCCTCTTGCAGCGAGTAAAGATGGCATAGCAGATAAATTTGGAGTAGCATTAATCTTATCATTAGCATCTCTAATGATATCTCTTTTATTATGATGATTCTCTTTGGAAGAACTTTTGCTGCTAAAAGCTCTCATTGGACTAGCAAAAGCCCAACCCCAACTCTTTCCACCGCGGTTATTATTCTGAGAAATCGACACAGAACCTTGTTTTGCACCACCGTTCACAGTTTCATCGGCAGAATTTGAAGAAACCCAGTAAGATGAGTTTGATGAGTTCGATGATGAAGATGAAGTCATCATGAATCCACTGAATATACCTCCACAACGTCGAAGTACTCGTTCTTTCATGCAATGGTGGTGATGGTGGTCCCCATTAGGGTTCACAGAAGCAATATCAGTAGAACTAGAACCAGAAACTGCCTTTGATTTACCTTCACGTTGTGATTCAACTCTTCTGAGAGTACAATCTCCAAACCCGGTTGAGATTCTTTCAAAGAAATCGCCGGAAAAGCTTCTGCTACCACAGCCAACAGATCTAGATCTTGAAACTTTGCGCTCAATAGAAGAACCTGTGTTATTGTTGTTGCTGTTGTTGCTGTTGTTTCTGTTAGGACTGTTTTCTTCGTCCTCTTCAACAATAACAATGTCGTTCTTTCTTCCTAAAGATGAACCTGAACAACACTTTTCCTTGAGTTTTGCTGCAGTAGTAGTCGTAGTAGCATTGTTGCTTCCATCTCTAAAACTCTTCGAGTTCAGATTCTTCGCAGAAGATTTTGAAGAAAGATAGAGAAATGACCAAAAGCCATTTCTTTTTCTAGGACTAAAATATTCATCATCTGCATCAACCAAAGAGTTACTACTACCTCTTCTTGGTGTAGCAGTTGATTTGCTACGTTTCAGAATAATATTATTAGATGTAGCAGAACCAGAAGCAGAAGCAGAAACAGTGTTTTTCTTCTTCTTTCTCTTGGCTAAAAGAAAAGGGATACGAGTTTTTCTAGAATAATATTCATGGTGAAACTGTTTAGCATTATTTTCATTTTTTATAGGACAGACAGAGAGAGACAAAGAAGAAGACGAAGCTACAGCAGTTGTTGTTGTTGTTGGAATGGTGTTAATAACGGAGGAAGAAGAAGAAGCACAATGACGAGTAGTGGAAGTGGAAGAAGAAGAAGGAGCAACATTGGATCTGAAAGAAGGAGAAGAAGACGACGAAGAAGCATGAATAGGAAGAGGAAAAGAAGAAGAAACAAGTTTACCAAGTTTTTCTTGAAGACAAAAAGCACAGATCCCACCAGGGTTGTTTCTGTAAGGATGATCAATGCATTGCATTCCATCAATGGAATCATCTTCAGCAACAATGTTAACTTTTCCATTACCAACTCCTAGCTTGATAGCTTCCATGTGGATGTGAATCATGCAGTGTAGATAGATTGTGTTGTGTACTTTGTTTGGGTTTTGAGTAGAGAGGTTAGGTTTGGTGTGTATGTAAAATGTGATTTGGTTTTTGAGAGTAAAAAGGTAGTGAGAGAGACAAAGAGGCGCAGATTTGATGGGTTAAGAAGAAAACAAGTTGGAGAGGGAACATATGGTCAGATGGTGTAATTGAGGAAAGACTGAAAAGATGGAAAGCCAAAATAACTAAATAATGCTTAATAGTACTGCAAATTAAAATATAGAGAAAAATAAATAGATTATGTTATATGCAATTGTGAATAAATGTTAAGTTATGTAATTAGTACAAGTAGCATTGAAAATAGATAGAGAAAGTGATAGAGATGTGTAGGGTAGTGGAACAGGGAAGTGGGTGTGTGAGACTTTCCAGGAGCACGTGGAGGCCTGACTTGGTAATGTATTAAAAGCCAGCGAAAGAGACAAGCGAACCAAAACCCTCATCAATTGCATTACAGTCCTGAATTTTTTTTATACATATTGAATTGAAGCAGTGACTCAGTGCAAGGGAGTGTGTCCTAGGTCGAACACAAGAATCTTAATCTAATCTATCAAATTCAAAGGCACTGAGCCCTGAATTTGCAGACCTATTTTTCTTCGTTATGAAGAACAAAACCTTCTCTGTGTCCAGATTCCTTCTCAGGGGATACCTGCGAATTTCTATTTACAATTCTAAAACCTTAATTTTTAATAAATGCACCTGCCGACTTTACTTGCTCTTGTTTTATAGTTTATCTTTATTGTTAACTTCTTTCGTAAGCTTTTCTCTCTATAGTCATCATTGAGAGTAAAAATAGGTTACAACTTATGAGAAGAAAATAGGATTTACTCTACTAAAAATTTAGTTCAGTCTATTATACAATAGAGAAGATAGTTTTAACAACTCTTCTAAGAGAAGGTTCTTACTTAGAGTTAATATATTTAGCCGTAGTGTGATGGTAGAGAATGTTCTTTGTTTGTTGTGTGGTCGAAGGCCAGAGTCGATTACTCATTTGTTTGTGATTTATGATCTGGTCGTGTTTGTTTCATATGAGATTGTTAGATGGTTGGGGTGAAGCTTTGTTCTTCTTAGAAATATTAGTTATATTTTTCTGATCATTATATTGTTAGGTGGTATGGCTAGACTAGGGTGAAGGATGATTTGGTTATGAATTGGCACTCTATGATTTGGTCAATTTAGAAATCATTGAACGATATTATTTTTTCTGCTCCATTTATCACTATGAAGAATATGGAAGGTAAGAGCATTTTTTTTTTGGGAATAAAGAAACTTTATATAACTCCAAAAGATAGAATATACATGGGTATAAGAAAAAATCCACCCACTAAACAATAAAAAAAACCCATTAATTTATGAAAAGGTTAGCTATATGACGTCTCTGTTAGCAAGGGTAGAGATAATTATATCTCTAATCTCCATGGTCTGCACAGTATTTCCAAAAACGGCGTGGTTACGATACTTCCAGACTTCGTAGATAGTCTCCGCTATGGCACTACGCAGGAGGCACTTCCTCCAGCCCTTACCCTTGCACTGTGTTATAATCCATTTCAACTCTTCATGCCAATCGCAGGGGGTGTGGTGAATTCCCATTCACCCCAGAATTTCCTGCCAACAGATTTGAAACGGGGGGCATTGAAAAAACAGATGGTCAATCGTTTCTTCTTTGCTGCAGAATTTACATATGTCATCCGTAGTAATTCCAAACTTTTTGAGTCGCACCTTTGTCGCCAGTCTACGGTGGCATGTCATCCAAAGAGTGAAAAGAGATCTTGGTCTAGCAATAGTTGTAGATAACATGTGGTTCCAATCAACATCAGGTTCATCCATTTTGAGGTAGTGGTAGACTTTATCCACAGAGTATTTCACCTTCATATCGTTCCAATCTTCCATGCCTGTCACGATGTATCTATGCCTCAAAATATTTTTGAAAATCCATGACATACAATGCTTTTCCTGGACCTGCATAAGGGTAATGGATTTGAAGTAAAAGGAATGAATCCACTTTACCCAAAGGGAGTCCTTCTTATTACAAAGGTTCCAAAGCAATTTAGCTAAACAGACTTTGTTCCACTCATACAGATCCAACACATTCAATCCCCCCTTTCTCCGAGGCTTACAGACCGTCTTCCAAGCAATAGGGGATTTTATCGACTTCGACTCGCTGCCTGTCCAAAGAAATGTTCTGCAGATCGTATTGATAGATTTTATCACACAGTTGGGGAAAGGAAGGCAGTACATCCAGTAGGTTGCCATAGTAGTGATGGTACTGTTAACAAATTGAATTCTGCCTGCATAACTCAACAGCTTAGAACTCCAGTATCGAATCCTGCTAACAATTCCATCAACTAAACTCATGTGGTGGTGTGCTGACATTCTTTTGCTGGTGAGGGGAATCCCTAGGTATCGAAATGGCAGATCACCTTCCATAAAAGAAGTAGATTCCAAAATATCTACTTTAGTATCATTATCAACCCCCCCCCCCAAAATACACCTTGCACTTTGCCGGGTTCACCACTAAACCAGTGGACTGAGAAAACATATGCAGTTTATCCATGAGCAACTTCACATATTGCGCATCCCCACGGGTGAAGAGAAGAACATCATTAGCAAAATTGATGTTGATGATTTGCAACTTTTCGCACTTAGCATGGAAATTGTAATCCAGAATGTTTCTTAATTGGTGTAGTAAACGGTGGAAATACTCCATAGTTAAGACAAATAGAAGGGGGGAAATAGGGTCACCTTGTCAAAGCCCCCTTTTGGCCTTCATACTTCTCGTAATGCTACCACCGACCTTAAATTTGTAGGACACAGTAGACATTGCCAACATAACCCACTTGGTGAATTTTTGAGGGAAACCCAATTCCTTGAGGATGCACTCAAGAGCATTCCACTCCAATGTATCATAAGCTTTTTGGATGTCAAGTTGCAGCAGACATCTAGGAGTACTACCTTTCCTGCTGTAGTCTTGGATAAGTTCATAAGCTAGCAAAATATGCTCATGGATGTTCTGCCCAGGAATAAAAGCCGCCTGACTATGGTTGATAATTCTGGTAAGGACTGAACTCAATCTTCTCGTCAATTATTTTGATATGATTTTGTAAATGGTGGTGCAGCAGGATATAGGTCTGAAGTCCTTCACAGAATTCCCACCATTTCCTTTGGGAATCAGAGAGACAAGAGTGCAGTTGACAGCTAAATACATTTTGAAGTTGTTGAAAAAATCCATAACAGCAGCAGTGGTATCCTGCTTAATGGTGCTCCAAGAGGCTTTGAAAAATTTGGCCCCAAACCCATCAATACCAGGAACTTTCAAGTCACCAATATCCTTGAGAGCACTAGTAATATCAGCTTCAGTTATGGGACAGTCCAGCATAGCTCTCTGCTCCCCAGTAATTTGTGGGCCATCCCTCATGGCAGTAAGGTTGGTTCCTTCCAATTCACCATTAGAACTCCCCATGAGATTACCATAAAATGACAGCACCTCATTTTCAATTTCCTCAGTGGTGTTAAGGATGTCACCAGCCATATTACACAAACCAGAAATGTTGTTACTGTTTTGCCTGTTTTTAACTTGGGCGTGAAAGTAACTATTGTTTCCATCTCCCAATCTGAGCCAACTAATTTTGGATATTTGGCTAAGAACCCGCTCCTCAATTTCACTCCAATAGACAACCTCAGCAGACCTAGCCTTAACTAGCTGAATCACTTCAGGGTTATCAAGGTTGTCCCTGAGCTGCAATTAGGCTTCCAGTAATTTCTGTCTAGCATGCTTGAGAGTACAGGTGGCACCAACCAAAGGCTTGCTGAGTTTTTTCACAACATTTTGAGTTCTAAGCAGTTTTCTCCACAACACAAACATAGGATTGCCATGGATAGGGGCATTCCAGCTTCTTGCAATATTCTCCTGATAACCCTGAACTTCAGTCACACCATTTAGTAGGCATGCAGGAACTCTTGTAGTTTATCTGTTTGGCTTGAGAATCATACTCTTTGGCTGAGCAGATAGAGTGGTAAATGTCTTTTGCATTATGGGTGTAAGTTCTTGATGGTTCACTTAGATGTAGCTTTTGTGTTGATGGTGGTTTATTTTGGATGAGATCTAGATTGTTCTTCTTTGGGGTGGTTATTATTCTTCTATTTCTTCTTTTTAGATTTTCAGTTTTGTGGAGTGGGTAGAGTTTTGTTGTTTTTGTTTTGGCTTGTTTTGGCCCTCTAGTTTTATGAGTTTTTGTTGCACTGATTATCGCATCTTCTGCACATTCTTCTTCTCTGCATTTGATTATGCATTTTCTTCTACCTTACATCATACCACTATGTGTGATTCCTGCTCTAATTAGTCCCTCTAATGGTGATGTTGATTCAGTTTATTATGTCCATCCGAGCAAATGTCCCTGTTTTTGTGAATCTCAACCTCAATTGAATAGATTTAATTACATTTCATAATCTAGATCGATGCAACGAGCTCTTGGCACCAAATGCAAACTCTCGTTCATCGGTGGATCCATACTAGTACCTGAGATTCTTGATCTCTACAAAGTTACATAGGAACGATGCAATTATTTGGTTTACTCGTGGATTCTAAATTTTTTTACTGGACATATTGTTCAAACTATCATGTTCTTGGAAAATGTCATTGATCTTAAGGAACACTTTTCCATAGCTAATTGTATTTGTGTTTCAAATCTTCATGTTAAGATTAACAATCTCAACTAAGGTTTCAAATATGTGCTAAATTACTTCACTAAGATGTGTGGACTTTTGGAAGAGCTTAATTCATACAAGCATATGCCAGTTTGTACCTACACTCATTAATGCATATGTGAATCTGTGCATTATGTACACGAATTTTTCCATGTGGATCAAGTCATGAAAGTCATGAAAGGTTTGAATGATAATCTTTCTGCTATCAAAACTCAAGTTTTATTAATGAAATTTTTACCTTCAATTAATAAGATTTATTTTA